GCGGGCAACAACTGTGCAATTGTATCCCGGTCGGGATACATTTGAACTTGATCAGGGGCACGTGACCAAGAATCAACAAATCACAGTGCTCGTTTTGTTCAGTGAAAGTCTGGGTATATAACAATGGTGAATATTCACCAATGCTCACTGAGCCTGAGGCAAGTAATTGGTTTGTTATAATTTTGAGAGGTGAATATCAAGGACTACAAAATAACGGACTAAAACATAAAAACACAGACGCAATTGTTCGTGTGCTACACGTATGCAGCCGTAATTAACCGTATGCAGCCGTAATGTACTTACATGTACATCGATTGTCAATCAATTTAGTCATCGAGCTCGGCAGTAAAACAAACGAGCGAAACACTACGAAAAGTGAATTCATCCGGTACCTTTGTTTCACGTTGTTGACTTCATTCGAAGTTGTCATCATAGCCTAAAAATGAGTGGCTTTACTGAGTTTGAAGAAAAATAAATTTCGGTCAATCGATCTGACCTGCTGGCGATCAACACAACCGTTGCGTTTACGATTCTTGAAAGCCTTGAATACGAGTTCTTGAAAATAATTTTGGTCCAAGGGCGAAAGCAGTCATTTTGAAAATTCTCAATCCTTTCAAATATCCTGGATTTGGAGTGATGTATTGGAACAAATGAAAACTTCATTCAGCAACTCCCCGCCATGTTTACTTGCCGAGATGGCAAAGATGTCGAGCTTAGTAACTAAGCTCTAGCGGAGTGAATATAGCGTTATATGATGAGCTTTTCGACCAATCAGAATAACCAATTCTTATATTCACCTCTGGAAATTATACTAATCTCTTATATTTCAAGGCAATAGGCTTGGTGCACGGACGTACGGACGGATGAACGTACGGACGGGTGAACGTTCGTACGGACAGTCAAATGACCACTAAAAGTTTTGAGATTGATGGGTTACCAGATATTCCACGGTATGGGGCTCCGCTCATGCGCCATCGGCGCGCAGGAGCTCCTCTATAAATCATAGTTTCAAGAAAAAAACGTCACAAATAACTATTCAAATTGTTCACCCCTTCGCGCACTCAGGCTGTTCCATCCACATTGCACTTGAGAGCAGAGAGTTTCTCTTTTGGTGAGTTCTTCATATTAAGAGATCACTAATTTAGGGTGGTCCGTTACTTCGGGGTTCAATAGGAAAGTAAAAAAAAAAAAAAAATTAACGTTACTTTCGGGCAGCCGTTATTTTCGGTGGGGTTGGGGGTGGAGGGGGCGTTATTTTCGGAATTCTACGGTGTAAGCTCTCCAACACAGCTTACAAGTCAGACTTGCCGCTAAATGGGTACGATTAGAAACCCCAGCAATTTTATTTCCAACAAAAAGTAAATTCGGACGTTACGGTTTTATCCGTTTGGCTGAAAACGTCGCACGTTCAGTTTTAAAACGCCGCGGTTTACAGTAACCAACCATTTTCTAGTCCAAGTTTGTATTAACTGCAAATCTCTATTCTGTTGAGTTGCAAATCTCTGACTATGTTTAGGTTATGGAACGTCGGCCTGAGTTTGCATCTATTGAAACTATTTTGCATCCTAACGTGTGCAAAACCATTCTCTTTCTGAGTATCATTTTTTTTTTTTTTACTGTTTAGAGTGTCTGGCTCCTTTGGGAATGGAAAACTTTAAAATAACGCCCGCACAGATTTCAGCGTCCTCTCATTATGACGAAAATTATGTCCCAAGCCATGGAAGACTACACTACAAGGGTATTGGCGGCGCATGGGCAGCCCTGGCGAATGATCTGCATCAGTGGTTTCAAATCGATTTTGGAGTTGTGACAACTGTCACTTACGTGGCAACTCAAGGAAGACATGGTACCAGCCAACGGGTGACCCAGTACAAGTTACAGTACAGTAACGATGGAAATTCATTTAAAGTTTTTAAACAGCAAGGAGAGAACGCAGATAAGGTTAGAATATAACGTTTTGAAACATTGCAGAACTACTTGGTTGAATAACTGGCAACCATCGATAGCACTCCACACACTAACCATAGTATTTCCCATCCCAGGAATTGTACTGGAAATCCTCCAATCGTTTAGGTTAAACTGAGCAAAACCAAGTCAAAGCAAAGCAATAAACTTTACTCACGATACCCACCACCTTTATTCCGTATTATAGTCTGTATCAACGTGATATTTGAGGGGGCAACAAAGTTAAAATTGGAATACTTCAACTCGTATCCTATTATTGTTATAGTTTTTATTTTATTGTATTGTAATCAGTGGTTCTTTTCTTTGTAAATATTTTTTTTTAATTTCTAGATACCACTACATCAGCGTTACTGTTATATTTTTATCGTGTATAAATAAGTGTTCAGTTACCTCACTTTACCTTTGCCATTATGAATTTTGTGGAGCCACATTTTGCTTTGAGTATTGCAGTGTAAAATACTTAAAATTTCAGGTACTTTTGTTTTATCTCAAATGACGCACAAAGTTAACCAGTCAATGCAAGAAGTTGATTGACTATTTGCAATCACAATGAAATAACTATTACACAATTCAATTGTCTTTCAATGATCATTTCGGCACAAATGTTTCACTATATCGGAACGAGCCGCTTTTACAAGACCTGTTTACTTACCACCGCTTAGAGGCAGTCATGAAGATGGTAAGTCATTGCACATCAGGAATGGACAGCATTCAACACAAACGGCTCAGTAAACTGAAAAATACGTTAGGGGAGGTTTGAAACATCTCTGGCAACAACGCTTGAAGAGGAAAGAATTAAATAAGTAATATATACAGTGTATATACGTTTGTTTATTCGTGTTCCTGCAGGTTTTTGTTGGAAACAGTGATGCTGACACCGTGGTAAAACATCACTTAACTCCACCAATCAAAGCACGATACATCAGACTGACGCCCACAGCACGGACCGAGCACATAGCCATGAGGATGGAACTCTACGGCTGTCTTGGTAACTGACCTTTTATTCCAAACCTTAAACTCAATTTGTTTGTACCTTCAAAAGACAAAAGGCTTTAGATTATTACAGCAAATGCGTCGTTAAGTGTTTATCATCCGAAACGGCTAAAGGCTGGGGCTGATAACATTTAACCTCGCCCTTGATTATTCTCCATATCAAGTAAAACAGCTTACGCAATAATTGCGTTCTGTTCACCATGGCGCCATTTGAATACTTAATTAATGAAGTCATTATCGGAAAGTCTATTTACACGTGTCTAACATGACCGACGTCGAGCCGTTTTTCTCGTGCAAAGGGGTAATGAAATGTTCTCCAGACGATCTTTCCTTTTAATTTACTCTTCTTTACGCATAAGCTTAACCCGAGCTTTGTTATGCGCGAAACTAAATCTGTTTAAGCTATGACGCGAAAGTACTCCTGGCTCAACAATCCTACTAGCTGATTTGGAATAACGATTTTTGTTCTGGTTAGACTGTAAAGTGCTAAATCTGGGACACTGAGGTTGAAATTGTTTCTCGGTGAGCGTTAGTTAAGTCAAATATTACTATTTCCTTATAAATAGTACAACCTTTTTGAATTGTGTTGCTTTGAGTTCAAATGTTCATAAAGTTAAAGTTTATATTCTCAATTAAATGCTTCGCCAGTATTTCTAGGGTCAAGCAAAAATTCAATAAAAGTCTAGTTGATCGTGATCCAGGAAAATGTTACACAAGTGCAAAGAAAGCAAAGTGCGTTTTGTGTTTTACTAAGGCCGTGCAGAATACTTCAGAAGCCCACATCCCGAGGAACAAGTTGCATCTATTGAGGGAAACCGGATCACGGAGACATCAGTTCTCCCCAAGCAATTTTCGTTCATAAACATTGTAGAGCACGCTAAAAGACGAGGAAGAATTGCTTGAAACTTTGTTGAAAAGTCTTTTTTCTATGAGAGTTATCTATTTGGTGTATTATGCCTGTTGAGGGACAGTAAGCTAGGTACAAGTTCAGGGGAAGTGTTATAGATATCAGGGAAAGAGTAATAGGAGTCATGGATTGTGTTATAATATATCAAACACGAGATTTGAAGATACGACGCGCAGCAGAGTATTTTTGAAATTCGAGGTGTTTGGAAAGCCGATGAAACCAGCACTGCCTCGAGTGTTTGAAATATCCTCACAATCGAAACAAAAACTAAGGAGTAGACGGAGAGGACCGTCAAGATCTATGCTGATTAAGACAGGGTATCCAAACCTCCTTCACGGTTGTGATTTTCTTTGTTTTAACTTGATGAATTATTAACGAGTTTGAGAAATTGTCCTGCTCTGTAAAGACCAAGCAGTGTTCATGATGTATCCAAACCTCCTTCACGGTTGCGATTTTCTTTGTTTTAACTTGATGAATTATTAATGAGTTTGAGAAATTGTCCTGCTCTGTAAAGACCAAGCAGTGTTTGACACCTTCCCTGACCTTCCTCCTGCAGTTATGTACCGTATGTGCGACTGCTCATCAAGAGGATCATTTTGTTAACAAATTGACAGTCCCCAATCCTTCTATAACTGATCAAGAAACAAGAGGGAAAATTAATAACTCATTATGGTTCCAAATCAGTAGATACAGCATGTTGAAAGGCAGAAATTTTGGTCTAGTATGCAACCGAAAACGTAATTAATCCAAAACCGAATTTGACCAGAATACCATATTGTCTCAGAAAGATCTTTCCAATTTATCCGGTATTAAACCTTGAGTATCAAAAGAACTCAAAAGCAGCAGAAGTTGCTGGACCTAAAAAATAGAGCGACAAGACGATTACTCGAAATAAAATGTACGTACAGTAATGCACTTCTATAGAAATCGAGTAGATACCTCAAACCCTGACTTTTCCTCTCTTGATCTTACTCTTTGAAGCCATAGTTTCTTCAGTCCTGGTGCGCTTGCTATCTTGCGATAAGTTCCATTTCTGTTACGACTCTCGTCGAACACATGCATCCCCGTACGAATTACAGAGTATTCAGCACGTGTAGAAGCTAACCACCTCTACCCATACTAACTTTTAGGGTCGTCGCGTGCTCAGTTTTACTCTTCATTCCGACAACCTTCCTCGAAAGAGCTTTATAACCGATGTCTTTTTCATTGTATAGGCGATATGCAAGCTCTTGGTATGGAAAGCGGTGCCATTGCAGACTCACAAATAGCTACTTCTTCAGAATATGACATTAATCACAGCCCCGAACGAGCGAGATTGCATACCAAGGACTGGACAGCTCCCGGAATCGGACTAGGGCCTGGCGGCTGGACAAGTTTGGCACAGGATTCGAACCAATGGCTTCAAGTTGATCTTGGTAAAATCACGCCTGTAACACACGTGGCTACACAGGGAAGAAATTTATTCACTCCTGGACAGTGGGTAACCAAGTACAAGCTGCAGTTTAGCGACGATGGAGCATCATTTTTGTTTTACAAAAGACAAGGAGAATCTATAGACGCGGTAAATAGAAATGTTAAATAAACAGCGGTCTCCACTTAGCCCGAAAATATTAGCCCGAAAATATGCTCGGATATTTGTCCACGAACATTATATTTTCCGAGAAGCGAACAGTTTTCTGACGAACAGATAATGCCCAAAGACAAATATCCGAGCTTTTTCTAAAACATCTGAGCGGGCCGGAATTCTAAATCCTCGAATTTGATTGGCTAATCATTTGCACGTGACCGGGACAGCTTTTTACGATACGGCCCACTGGCCGGATTTTTTTTTCCGCTACCTAAATTTCTCTCCTAAAAGTTAGCGGTAATTGTCAATCTTAGGCCTTTTTTTTAACATCTATCGATGATTAGTCAACGCAACTTTATCTCTGTTCGCTTTAAAATGGCAAGGAAAGTCACTGTAAGTATATTCAGTCGAGTGCTTTCAAGTTGTAAGAGTTTGCTCCGTTGTAGGTTGGCGCTGTAATGGCTCGTAATCCTGTGTTTCTCTCGCTGTAAAATTTCAGTCAATTTCAGTCGAGTTTACCCCTCTGAACGTTGCTGTATTTAGGAGAATTTCTGTGGAATACACTTAACGAATTTCCTTGCTTTCTGCTATTCAATTTACATAGAAGAGTCTGATTTCAAGTGATTTTAAAAGAAACGACTGACAGAAATTGCTTTTGTAGTAAAACTTCAAACTTCGCTCGAAATTTCACACCGCAAAAATAATTTTGGAGAACTTAAATGGTGAAATAAATGCAACTAACATAAAGTAGGAAAAAAATCCGTTTTTTAATACATCTTTCTTGTGTAATATCTGAGTTGCTCGCTCGTTGCCAAGATTTTTTACAAATCGTTAGTAGACGGCGTGCAAGCCGATTTAATGCCGATTTAAAGCTGCGTAAACAAACCCATGCGTAATCTGTAAAATCAAAATTACTGCAGGAGAAAAAATTAAACATGTTCTTTGCCGGCTTAGGGTCGGTCCGTATAGTGAAAAACTGTGACCTCGGGCTTGAAAATGCTGCGCTCGGCCTGCGGCGTCGGGCAGCATTTTCAAGACCTCTTCACAGCTTTACACTATACGGACCTTCCAGCCGGCAAATGGAGGCTTTTGTGTTAATTATCCTTCAAAAGTTTTTCGCAGTACACGGGATCTAAAGATTAGTGGATATCACTCAGATATTCCCAGTTTTAGCTGGGAAATATTCAGTCATGTGACACCTTTAGAACAATCGCGTGTGAGCAAGAATATCTGATGGACTATAATACAAGAAATTCTTTCAAGATATATATGTCATTTGCCGGCTGGGAGGTACGTATAGTGGAAAACTGTGACTTCAGTTGCAGTTTTTCAGTATGTGGACCCACCCTAAGCCGGTAAATGATTTATTTATTATTGCTCAAAGCGAAAACTTGAAATTCCGATAAGTCGTAATCATATGATATGTGTCGTTTCCATCGAAAACCACCGTTGAGGAACCTTTCGCGTGTAATAAGCAACATGGGTTTCAACAATTTTAATCGTAACAATAAAGAATGCAAGTAACCAACTTGTTGACCAAATAATTCAAATAATGTCGCTTCAGAGCGAAATGTCTAAAACACTTCGATTCTTGCAAACGAAATAACCCCCCCCCCCCGCCAAAAAAAAAGCCGCTTTTAAACACAGAAACATCTTTATGTCTCTTCACCGCTATTTATATTTTTAGGAGTTCGATGGCAATACCGATCACGACACCGTCGTCTATCACCAACTAAATCCACCAATCACGGCACGCTTCGTACGGATAAAGCCAACAACATGGAAAAATGCTATCTCAATGAGGATGGAGCTCTACACTTATCAAGGTACTTTAATTAAGTGATTGATTTATTAATTTATTGAATAAAACAAAATAAATTCATCTACCACTACCACCATCGCCACCGCCACCGCCACCGCCACCGCCACCGCCACCGCCACCGCCACTACTGCTGTTACTGCTGCTGCTTCCGCTGCAGCTACTACTGCCGCTGCTGCCACTGCTGCCACTGCTACTAAATGCTACCGCTGCTAATATATTCTACCGCTGTTACTAACTGCTACTGCTGCTGCTACTGTTACCGCTGTTGCTACTGCTACCGCTGCTGCTGCCGCTGCCGCTGCTGCTACCGCTGCTGCTGGTGGTGCCGCTGCTGGTGCTGGTGCTGGTGCTGGTGCTGGTGCTGGTGCTGGTGCTGCTGCTAGTGCTGGTGCTGGTGCTGCTGCTGCTGCTGGTGCTACTACTACGACTGCTGGTGCTACTACGACTGCTGGTGCTACTACTACGACTGCTGCTACTACTACTACTGCTGCTGCTGCTACTACTGGTGCTTCTGCTACTACCACTGCTGCTGCTACTGCTGCTGCTGCTGCTACTGCTACTACTGCTGCTGTTACTACTACTGCTGCTGTAGCTACTGCTGCTGCTGCTACTACTACTGCTGCTGCTGCCGCTGCCGCTGCTGCTACCGCTGCTGCTGCCGCTGCTGCTGCCGCTGCTGCTGCCGCTGCTGCTGCCGCTGCTGCTGCTGCTGCCGCTGCTGCTGGTGGTGCCGCTGCTGCTGCTGCTGCTGCTGCTGGTGCTGCTGCTATTGGTGCTTCTGCTGCTGCTGCTAGTGCTGCTGCTGGTGCTACTACTACGACTGCTGGTGCTACTACGACTGCTGGTGCTACTACGACTGCTGGTGCTACTATTACGACTGCTACTACTACTACTACTGCTGCTGCTGCTACTACTGGTGCTTCTGCTACTACCACTGCTGCTGTTACTACTACTGCTGCTGCTGCTACTACTACTGCTGCTGCTGCTACTACTACTGCCGCTGCTACTACTACTACTACTACTACTACTACTACTGCTGCTACTGCTGCTGCTGCTACTACTGCTGCTGCTACTAATGCTGCTGCTACTACTACTACTGATGCTGCTGCTGCCACTGCTGCTGCTACTACTACTGGTGCTGCTGCTACTACTACTGCTTCTACTACTACTACTATTACTACTACTACTACTACTACTACTACTACTACTATTGCTGCTGCTACTACAGCTACTGCTACTGATTTTGTTGTCACCATGTTTGCTCACCATTCATAGCAAATAGATGTGTAAGCATTCTGGTTTTACATGTATTAAAACGTACGTGCTTTTACACGAAAAAGACTTAGCAACTAATTCGAATTGACTCGTTTTGCTTTTGACTCACGCCAGTCATTTGAAGCCACTTCGCTTGACTTGAAATGTTATTGACTGATGTTGATGTATATACGTACACACCCGTCCCCTGTCATTCAGGAATGTCTTTTTAGGAACGAAAAAGACAAAGTTAATTGGCAAAAATTGGCTTTAACAAAAATAAACCAGCCCCCACGTAGAACATTTGCGACTCTCGTTAAGACAAAATGTTGTTTTATTTTTTTGCAGATATATAACCTGTTGCAATTAGAAGGGCACGATACTTAAAGAGCAGCATGTTACGACACTGGCCAATGAACATTAGCTGAGTACTCGATGGGAGTACCATGGCACCAGATTTTTTGTGTTTTTTTTCCCACGATTTGCAAAAAAATGTCCCAACAAAAATAAAGTTCCTGCAAAACTTTCGCCGCAAAAATTCACTCCCACCGGCGAAATTATGGCGGAGCTCCTGCGCGGCGAAGGCGAGCAAGCGGAGCCCCATACCTTAGAAAATTTGGTAATGCTATCTCTCTTTGTTAGTAAATTACTACCTGATCGGTTTTCATGTTCATCAACGTAACGGTATAATGCATGCACCGGCCAAACGATCGCAACATTTCAACGCCACATATCGTTAGATTGTTGTGCAAAAAATGTTACGCGTATTTAACCACCCTGTTGGGACGTGTTGCAGCATGTTAAAATGGAACTTTTTGTCAAGGTTAAATACATTTTGGGAAAAGCGTTATGTGTCCGGCACTTAAATTTTTCCAAAATTTCTGGTGGCTCTGAAACTGCTCCATGTTTTTCTTCTTCTTCTTTTTTTTTACTATCTGAAATGAGATAATCGTGTTTGGAAATGTGGTAGAACATGGTTTCTCGCATATGATATATTACATCTTTTATAAAGGAAAAACTGTTCTTATCGAGCAGAGCATTAACATAACTATTGCATATTATAGAACTGTTTCGCGAAAGGTTGTCCTACACAAACGTAAAAGCAGACACGATAGGAGGAAAAAAAAACAATATAAATACATGTGTGCAAGAATATTATGTCACCCAATACGCTTAACTATAAAAGTGAATCGCTACAGCCAAAACACGAAGAGACTCATGAGGTTCTGAAATAGCTGCCCCCTACTGACTTTGCGCTGGTGAATAGCGAAAAGTCAGGAGGAGGTCTAGTCTTAATCCAAGCCAACTTAACCGCAGGGTAAAATTAATTTGATGCTTCTTGACAAGAAACGTGTTAAAGACGGCATCTACCTGTCAACGGAATCACTCCGGAAACATAATCAAGGTAATTACAAACCTCTCCGTATTCTGGAGATATTTGTAGCGCTAATCCACTGCACTCAAGCTTACATATAAAGCAACGGTACTCGCGATAACTTTTTCGCTGTCAAAACAAGAAAACAGTCGGGGTTTTGCTTTCGACTGAGCCGTGTTGTTTTTTTTAACCGTAAAATTGTTCACACGGAAATGTTTCCGTTTATAAATTAACGCCTAACAAAGCGGGGAAAACACTACAACGGTTCAGTTCCACTTCAAATGAAGAGATATTCGTATCCAATTACTATTTGGTTAAAACCGAAAATCGAAATAGTTACAAGTGTGACCCATTTTTGCAAGCGTCATTCATTTTTCAAGACTGATCCATTTTTCGAAATGTGACCCCTTTTTTCCAAGTGTGACCCTTTTTTCCCAATCGTGACCCATTTTTACAAGTGTGATCCTTTTTCCAAGAGTGACCCTTTATTTCAGGTGTGACCCATTTTTGCAAGTGTAAATCCCTTTTTTCCAAGTGTGATTAGTTTTGTCTAGGGTGACGCATCTTTTTTTAGTGTGACTCTTTTTTCCAAGTGTTATCTATGTTCCATGGGCGACCCATTATTTCAAATGTGACTCATTTTAACAAGTGTGACCCTTTTTTCCAAGTGTGACCCATTTTGGCAAGGTGTCATTCATTTTTCCAAGAATGATCCATTTTTCGAAGTGTGAACCCGTATATTCCAAGTGATACCCCCTTTTTCCAAGTGTGTCCCCTTTTTCGAAGTGTGACTCATTTTTACAAGTGTGACCCATTTTTACAAAGTTTGTCCCATTTTTTCAAGTGTGACCCATTTTTCCAGGTGCGACCCATTTTTCCAAGTGTGACCCATTTTTCCAAGCGTGAACGCCTTTCTTCAAGTACATTTCATTTTTTGACTCGTGACGCACTTTTCTGAGTGTGACCCATTTTTCCAAGTGTTACCTATTTGTCCAAGTGTGACCCATTTTTTCAAATGTGACGCATTTTTTCAAGTGTTACCTTTTTTCCAAGTGTGACCCAGTTTTCTAAATTTGACCTATTTTTAAATGCATTTCCCATTCATCTAAGTTCGACCCTTTTCTTAAGTTCGACCCACGTTTCCAAGTGTGACCAACGTTTCCAAGTGTAACCTATTTCTGCAAGTGATACCCATTTTTCCAAGTGTGACTCATTTTTCCAAGTGTGACTCATTCTTCCAAGTTTGACCTATTTTTACAAGTGTGACCCATTTTTCCAATTGTGACCTATTTTTAAATGTATTTCCCATTCATGTAAGTTTGACCTTTTCCTTAAGTTCGACCCACGTTTCCAAGTGTGACCAACGTTTCCAAGTGTGACCCATTTTTTCAAGTATGACCCATTTTTCCAAGTGTGACTCATTTTTCCAAGTGTGACTCATTCTTCCAAGTTTGACCTATTTTTACAAGTGTGACCCATTTTTCGAAGTCAGACTCTACTTCCAAGCGCGACCAGTTTTTCCAAGTGTGACCCGTTTTTCAAGTGTGACCTACCGTTCTCAGTGTGACCCATTTTTCGTAGTGTGACCCTTTTTTCCAAATGCGATTAATTTTTCCAAGTGTGACCCACATCTTTCTGTTGGGCAATTTTGCTCAAGATCGTCTCACAAAAAGCTGCGTATCACTCAGCCTGCAATTCGCAAATGCAGAAGTATTTTCGGCTGTCGCTTGTATCCGCCGAAAAATATATCGAGCTGCGATCGCTTGAAATTCTGTATTTTATCGGCATCCAGGGTCTTTCTTTTTTAACGCCCTTCAAACTATTCCGAACAGAGTAGCAACAATAACTGTGTCTTTCTTTCTCAAAGATTGAAAGCACGATGACCACGATGGATCTACCAACCCGTCATTTGTATCAGACAGATAAAAAAGGTCCAAAAATATAGACTTTCGCGATGTCAGCTTTGAAAAACGGAAAGGAATCACTTTCGATGAACTCTCGTGGTTTATGAACCCATGTCCTGCTGGGTATTTCAGAGTCTCATAAATCTCGTCATGTGTCAAGAGCTGCGTGAGCTCACCTATAATTTTCACATAAATTACACGTATAAAAATAAAATCAATTTGAGAGTATTGTTACACAACCTAAGTTAATATTTTCTTGGAATAAAGGAACTTTCACAAGTTCAGCGTCATGGCGTTTATCCCGATTTCAGCCTCAGTTTTAAAGGTTTTAAACGAATTCATTTTTTATTAAACGAATAAAAAACTTTAAAACTTTCATTGTTATCTATATAAAGAACCTATATGGAATTCAACCTGCTCTTCCCCACTATCACTCTCAGTATGGGTAGGTTGGCGATCTCTCTCATTATGCTATCTCATATGAACAGGCATTCTCCTCTTTTGAACTGACGGGGGCACAGAATTCCTGCGTTTCGGCAGCGAGGAAATTACACGGCAGTAAGAGACTCCTG